TCAATAGGCTACTTTTTTGTGTAAACTACTCTATCCATATAATTAGACCACAGGTCCCTGGTGAGTGAGGATAGCATCCCATCTTCCATGCTCCAGGCATAAGCATTGGTCCAAATAATGCATTGCAATCCCTAGGCCAGTGAAAAACTCTGGAGGCAAACAAGACCAGTATGACAGAGTACAGGAAAATTAATAGACAAAGTCTTATTCTAGGTTTTCCAGGATATGAAACTGATGTATTATTAGAGTCACCAGCAGAAGCTACTTGAAAATAAAGACAACACAAAGCAGAGTATAACTGAGACATGGAAAAATAGCTTCCAGGTTGTAGACTTTTGAGCACCTTGATACATTTGAACATGAATACAATCTTCCAGTGAGATGTTCGGTTATGTCATTGAATAAATTCCCTTTTTGCTTTAAACCAGTTTTCAGTATGGTTTCTGACTCTTGCAACCAAATGAGGTCGTCTTAACTCACTAACAGAATGAATATAGGGTTGTGTCAAAAAACAAGATCTGTAACTATGGAAAGAGAATACTCTACATCACAAAGTGAGTGTTACTCCAAAGATTTACCACTGAAAAAAGAAAGTACTTCCCCAGTGTGCTACTTTCCTCAGAGGGGATGAAGGGTGGAGTAGGAAAACCATGGAAGGGAATTAGTTTAACAGACAGCATTGGAAAGCAAAATAACTGAGTTAAGAAAATTGCAGCTAAACATGGGGCCTAAGCCATGAACCCAGGGAAGTAGTCAGTCATAAATTTATGGTGAAAACATGTAGTTTACTGTTCAGAATATAGCTTTAGAATGTAGAAAATCTGATTAGAATCCAAAGGGATCAAACAAACAAACAAAACATCTTGAAAAAAAAAAGAAATCTAAGTGCTTAGGAGGCAACGTAGTCTTTTGCACACACACACACACACACACACACACACACACACAAACCCTGAAGCATAAAATATGTGATTCAAAGCATGAAAGCAGATGAAATGAAATGGGAACATACAAATGGAATGACACGTTCAAGGACATAACGTGTCTATGACCATAGCGAGAATTTTGTCTGGCATATCTGCTAAAACCTATTCATTCTGATAACCATTTGTTGTTAAAGGTAAATTATACATGTACTCTCTGGAAATTATTGAAAGCAAAACCCTAGGCCATCTAGGGTTCAAGTTGTTCCATTTAGCTTGGGAAACTTTTCCTCCAGTAGCTTAATACATAGATTCAAAGATCATCCTTTTTTAAAAAAAAATCTGTTTCAGTGACTCAATATATTTATAGAATGCAAGTGATGCACCATGAGAATTATAATAACTTATTCAAAATTACCATATAATAACACTAATATTTATAAAATATGAAAACATCTGTAGTAAGAAAACTGTGGCCAATAAGAACTGGAAAGAGTGCAAGTTAGCAAAATGATTGAATTTGTAAAACTAATATTTTAAAACAAATATTTCTGCCATCCATTTTATAAGCAAAGTACATAGGACTCCTCTAAACCCAGACTTTAAAAAGAGATTTTAAATGATAAATTTAAATTGTAGTATTATTTCCAAAACAACTTTGAAAAATAAAGTACTATCACCTAGTCAGAGTTCATGTAAAAATTTAACATGAAGAATCTAGCAAACTATACTGCTGAAAATTTTCTGTTTTGTCTAACACTAACCTAATAAAATAGTTAAGAATAACCCAAATTTGGCAAAAAACAAAAGAAAGTTTAATGAGTTAAAAGCAAAGAGATTATAAAGAAGAAGCAAACAAATAGAAAAACAAGAATACAAATACCACTGAGTCCCTAAATAGTTTGATCCAGTGTCAAAACTGGACTAAAAATATTTATATTGCTTAAACTTCTGGCTTAAATTAACTAGGTCCAAAAAGAAAAAGAAGAATGGAGAAATGGAGAGAGGAACAGAAGAGGGGAAGGGAGACGGGAAACTATAATTCTTGGTTTAAAAAAACCCAATTATGTGTATTCACTTGGAAAACCTCTGAGGTGGGTAAGCTAGGTTAAAAAGTCATTGCCTCCTTAAGGACACTACCCTTTCACTAAGCATAGTAGAAAGATAATTTCTAAGTTGAGTTTTTCTCACTGCCTTCCACAGTATCCAATTTCACAAACTTCTAGACCCCCTCAGACATGGGCCCTAGAAACTTTTTAAAGTAAATTTAGCTCCCCTTAGGGCTCAACAAAATTCTAATTATATCCATCAGTGATAACATAAGATTAGATGAAGGCTTATTTCATCCATTTCCAAATTCCTACATTATAAAAAATATCCATTTGGGATGCTTTTTTTATTTAAAGTTTTTCATTTCCTATTTCTATTTCTTTCAGAACAAATTGCTGTGATTTTTTTTGATCAACTTATATATGCATAATAAGTATATGTGCAAATACATACACACATATACACATTATAGATATATATACTATATATATGCATATTCATACATATAATATGAGCATACATATTATGAGTTGCTGGATACATTTTCCTCCTATTTTCATGATAGAAAAGAAAGGAAAGAATACTTGAACTGTTGTAAAATAATGTTTCAAACATAAAGTAGAATGACTAAAATCATGAATGCACTATCCAAACAGGTAATAAAATCTCCCCTGAGTAGATACCTTTAAAAATTTAATATCTTGAAAATGATCTAATAAAATAATTCTTTGAGGTATGCTTTCAGTTGTGTAATTTCATATAAATGACTTTATATGTAAAACTTACATAATTCATGAAAATCTTTCATTAAATAATTAAAACTTTATATAAAGGTTAATAATGGGAAAAATGACAGGAATTAACACCACACTCTGCTTTTTTTTTCTTTTTTTCCCCCAAATATGATAACCAATTTAGGCCTCATTATTAAAACATGAATGGACTAGAATCATAGGAACTTAAATGCGCTAACAAAACATGAAAGTTATCTACACCCAACACTCATATATTTCATGTGAAAAAACTGAGGCTCAAATAATTTGAGGAAATAATTTAACTACCTCACACAACCAATTAGTGACCAGCTGGCCATGTTCACTATCTTAATTCCCAACCACAAGCTCTTTCCATAGACAGTCAGACTTCACCCTCCAATTATCTGACCAAAATATTTAGTGTCCAGCAAATAGATAGTGATTACTGATAAAAGTATAAAATTAAGACTTTTCTTTTCCTTTGAAGATAAGGTAAATATACAGTAAGGATTTTAAGCTTCTGCAAATGTTTAAATTCAAATTCAAACTCTTATCTATCTATCTAGTGAACTGCTGGGTTGCAGTCCACTTTCCCAATTCCAGCTATCTTTTTATATGGATTTATATGCACAGAGAGAAGGGGATTTGCCAAGAGTCAAGTTTTTGCGGTGCTTTTGTTTTTGACATTTGTGTTTGTTTTTGTTTTGCACCTGCCAATTAGAGCTATGAGTCAGGATGCCAGGAACAAGATAATGAAAGGAAAGAATTCCCTAGTCCTGTACATGAATTCAGTTTTAAGCAATAGGGAGATGCTAGTCTTTTAAAAACTGTGTCATTTAAAATAACAAAGCTGTGTCATTTGGGACTTTAAGAAACATAGACTGAGGAATAAGTGGAGTTGTTCTGGACCTAGTCAACTGCACAATTAGAAAGAGTATTTTTTTCAAATTTTACTAGGAATATAACGACTTCAACAAAGCGAGTACATTAAAATGCACATCTATGTGATTTCAAAGTTTTTGTTCTTTTGAAGTTTCCCAAAAGCTGAAACCTACATAAAGAAAGAGAATTCTTAGAAGGGAAAAAATCTTTGATGACAGGAATGAGTCACACCTCCAACCCAAAATAGTTTCTGAACAACAAAAAAGGAGATCACAGTGGAAGAATAGGGAGCACTCGATCTGATCACAGTTTGGATATGGCAGAGACTCCTAGAAATAATTGGCCAGGCCTTGAGTAAGGACATACAAAGATGAAGACGGGGAAGACATAGCAGCAAGATGTCGATATTAGTGGAATCGTCCAAGGCCAGAGAATCCCAGAGAAATTACAATTCATCCTTATTAGCCATTAGTTAACAAATCAAAAATATATAGTCATGCTTTTCAGAGGAAAAGAAAAGTATAGATATCATATATCTCACAGAAAGATTTGAACAACTGATAAACAGCTAGAATGTACTGGAAAAAAGCATCCATTTTTATAACAAGATATATTTTAATAAACATAAAGACGTTATTTATCTATTGTCAGTAACTGGAAAATACAATTCATGCTTTCTTAAAATTTAGTCTTCAGTAGATAGAAAGTTTACTTTCCTGACAACACTGCATTTAGAAAAATTTTGGCTTGATTCAAAACTGCTGACACTCTCGCAACCATCAACAATATATCTTCTGTAGATAGTTATACCACAGACATAAATATAAATGTAGGCAAAAAATAAAATGCCAACTCAGACATGCCTTGAGGTTTGTTTTTTTTTTAGCATTTTTCTGATGTTTTTCAATGTATTCATCTTCAAAATGAATTTCCTTTTCATATTTTAACCTTCACAGTTAAAGTCGAGCTTCCAAAAATATTGGGCTTGTGAAACAGTTGGCTCTAAGAATGACTTATTTCTTGAGAAATTCGAGTTAAACAATAAATAAAATGTCAGGATTAAAATGGAACCCTGAGCTCACACATTTGATTCTCTTACTCCCAAAGGCAATAGCAGGTTCAAGACATTTCCTGTGTCAAGTCCAACCAGAAGTGCAGACAGAGACATGTGTAAGCAGCCAGAAACTGTTTAGGCCTCAAAACTATTCCATAGGTGCTGCAAAACTGATCTATTCTACAAGCTGGATAGCGTCATTGAGGGAAGGGACTGTGGCATATTCTTATGCCCATTTAACTTTTAGAGCACAAGCTTCTAATTTTCCTTTCATAATTTTAGTCCAAATTTCAGATATTCAGGATACTTTATCTTTAAGATAATATTTCTTTTCATCCGCGGAGCACTGCGGTGCGTTCCTCGCTTCCTTGAGTGTTGGCCCAGGGTCGAAGAGAAGATGGTGCTGGATCTGGATTTGTTTCGGGTGGATAAAGGGAGGGACCCAGCCCTCATCCGAGAGACGCAAGAGAAGCCCTTCAAGGACCCGGGGCTAGCGGACCAGCTGGTGAAGGCAGACAGCGAGTGGCGACGATGCAGATTTCGGGCAGACAATTTGAACAAGCTGAAGAACCTGTGCAGCAGGACAATCGGAGAGAAAATGAAGAAAAAAGAGCCCGTGAGAAATGATGAGTCCATTCCGGAGAATGCACTAAACTTCGATGACCTCACCGTAGACACGTTAGCTAACCTGAAAGTCTCACAGATCAAAAACGTCTGGCTCCACATTGATGAAGCCATCCTGAAGTGTGATGCTGAGCGGATCAAGTTGGAGGCAGAGCGATTTGAGAACCTTCGTGAGATCGGGAACCTTCTGCACCCCTCCGTGCCCATCAGCAACGATGAGGATGCAGATAACAAAGTCGAGAGGATTTGGGGTGATGGCACGGTCAGGAAGAAGTACTCGCACGTGGACCTGGTGGTGATGGTAGATGGCTTTGAAGGAGAGAAGGGAGCTGTGGTGGCTGGGAGTCGGGGGGACTTCCTGAAGGGGGTCCTGGTATTCCTGGAACAGGCACTTATTCAGTACGCCCTTCGCACCTTGGGAAGTCGGGGTAACATGCCCATTTACACCCCGTTTTTCATGAGGAAGGAGGTCATGCAGGAGGTGGCACAGCTCAGCCAGTCTGATGAAGAGCTTCATAAGGTGATCAGCAAAGGCAGCGAAAAGTCCCACGAAAACTCCTATGACGAGAAGTACCTGATTGCCACCTCAGAGCAGCCCATCGCTGCCCTGCACCGGGACGAGTGGCTCCGGCCAGAGGACCTGCCCATCAAGTACGCCGGCCTGTCCACCTGCTACCGGCAGGAGGTGGGCTCCCATGGCCGCGACACACGTGGCATCTTTCGGGTCCATCAGTTTGAGAAGATTGAACAGTTCGTGTACGCATCCCCCCACGACAACAAGTCCTGGGAGATGTTTGAAGAGATGATTACCACCGCAGAGGGGTTCTACCCGTCTCTGGGCATTCCTTACCACATCGTGAACATCGTCTCAGGTTCTTTGCATCACGCTGCCAGCAAGAAGCTTGACCTGGAGGCCTGGTTTCCGGGCTCGGGAGCCTTCCGTGAGTTGGTCTCATGTTCTAATTGCACGGATTATCAGGCTCGCCAGCTCCGAATCCGATATGGGCAGACCAAGAAGATGATGGACAAGGTGGAATTTGTCCCCATGCTCAATGCCACCATGTGCGCCACCACGCGCACCGTCTGCGCCATCCTGGAGAACTATCCGACGGAGAAGGGCATTATCGTGCCTGAGAAACTGAAGGAGTTCATGCCGCCAGGACTCCAAGAACTGATCCCCTTTGTGAAGCCTGAGCCCTTCGACCAGGAGCCGTCGAAGAAGCAGAAGAAGCAACACAAGGGCGACAAAAGGAAAGCAGCCGGGAGAGAAGTCACCCTGGAAAACCGGCTGCAGAACATGGAGATCGCCGATGCCTGGGCACCCTGCCCCGCTGGCCAGGCTCTCGTGTCTGTCCACCAGGGTCGCGGGGCCTGCCCTAAGCAGGGAAGCCTAGCACCCACTCGTCTTCCTGCCCCCCTCTGACTGCACAGCCGAAAGGGAACAGTCTACCACCTAGACACAGATGTCCCCATCTCCTCGTATGGGCACAGGAGCTCACCGTGATGACAGATGCAACCCTGTAATAAACCGTCTCGGGAGGGCTTAAAAAAATAATAATAATAATAAAATAATATTTCTGTTAAAATTTGAAGTAATCTAGGTTAAAAGCATTTAAATAGCTCTTAAGTAATAAAATATATTTGATAATTTTTATTGTATTAAATATATAAAAATAAAAGGCAGCCAACATAGTCTAAGAAATGTGACGCAAGTTAAAGAGAAAGATTAACAATAATTTTAGGAAGCCAGGTCAGAGTAAGAAGAAGGGGGTTTTAATAGAGATTCTGTATGTTCCAGAAATGTATATGGCACCCACATATCCCTTTAAAAATTATTTTGGAGAAACTATTCGAACTCAATTAAAAATCAATCAGAAATTGTTCTAATTCCAGAATATGTGCTGAATGTTTTGGATAACATGCCTGAGAATAGCCAGAAAACATTTTAAAGGGTGTTGTAAAACAAGTTTGGGTGCATAAAAGAGTTAATAAGAGAAACAATTACAGAGTTATAATCAAGAGAAAAAGATAACCTAGATCAATAAACTTATATTTGGAGCCAATTCTCCCATTACTGCATCCAGCAGTTCTAGCAGAGGTGACAGAAAAGCAGAGCAGACATTTCAACCGGTCACAGAGCTTGGAAGATGAGAACAAGATTTGAGGATAGACGAAATTGGGAGAAAGCCATGGTAAATCTCATAGACCTAGGATTGAGACACCAAAGGCCTACTTCTAGGAATAGGAGCAAAAAGTAAAAATTAGACTGATCCTGGGAAGGACTGAAGACATGCTAAATTAAATCACTGCATGACTTTATTGATGAGATCTGGGATTGCTAGAGTTCCTGTCTGCTTTAAAGGGAAAGAAAGAATCAAACAAGCTTTGATCTCTACTTCTGGGATTTGGATTATATGTATCTTGGTCTTGTTCACTTCATTTCATATGTTTCTTCAGTCTTCTGCATTTTCCATTCTTTGATGTCTCGTGCTTAATATCACACTATGTTTTTAACCTACTCTTAGCCTTTAATTCCAGTTATTATATTTTTCAGTCTCAAATTTTTGATATCTATAAAAAAGTAGTCCTCTATTAAACTTCGCAATCTTGTCATGTATTTTTAAACACATGTGAATATTTTATTTTAAAATCTTTGTCTGAAAACTTCATTATCTGGCTATACTGAGTGTTTATCTCCACTTCTTATTGTTTTGCTATTCTTGATTTTCCTGTATTATAAACAGAAATCATGATGATACCTTCAGGTATAGGCTGTACAAAACCACTAACAAGTCAAAAATTTAATAAACACTACAAACCATTAGTATGATAAATCAAACCTAGGCACATTATGTTGAGTAAAACTAATGACAAAGAAAATTGCAAAGTCAGATACCAAACAAGAAAACAAAATATAAAACATTTTTAACTTTATGTGAACCTAATAATATAATCCCTTATGAAACAAAAATGTAGAGCTAAAGAGAAGGTGATTTTAACACACCTCTCTTATTTGTTCATAAAGCCAGCAAACATAAAAACCAATGTTTGAAGATTTGTGTAACATTAAGAAACAATTAGATCTAATGATCGTTGTTTAGCACAATAATTCAAGTAGGTACTATTATTTACATTTCTCCTACCTAGATGGGAAAAGAAGTTGTGGCTTATATAGGTTAATATGGTAGATTACTCAGTTAGTGAGTAGCAGAACTAGAATACAAGCCCAGAGTTCATGCTCTTATCTGCACACAATTTTGCTTACCACAGAGATACATGTAAATAATTACAGGGATATATATTTACTTATAATGCTTGGGAATCAGGAAATGTCAACTTGCCTGTTTCCTAAGTATAATTCCTCATAACATAGAAAGCAAGATGCCTGCTTTGTCCACTCCACTCACTTTTCCTTGGGATATCCATATTCAAGGTTCACCACAGAATAGAAAAACATATTTTACTTGGAATAATAAAAAAGTAAGTAATATGGTAAGGATAACATCTTAGTCCATTTTTTGCTGCTGTAACAGAATGTCACAGACTAGGTAATTTATAAAGAAAAGTTCCTTTGCTCACAGTTCTAGAGGCTGTGGAGTCCAAGGGTATGGTGATAGCTTCTGGTGAGGGTTTTCATTTTGCAGCATAACATGGCAGAAATGAGAAAGAGCTAGCAAGAGTGTGCAAAGGAGACCATAAGAACAAGCTGAGCTCACATTTATAACAGCCCACTCTCACAAGAACTAACTCATTCCCACAACAATGACATACATTTATTCATGAGGACTCGGCCCTCATAACCCAATCACCTCTTAAAGGACCTTGGCTGTTAAGTTTCTGACACATAAGCTTTTGGGGGACATTCAAACCATAGCAGATGTATTAAATGCTGTTTTAAAAGGCATTACAGAAAAATAGAACTAGTAGACAGAAATATAGAAGGCAGCAAAAACCAGGCAGTATGACTAAATCATCAGACCATGGAGGGGGGGTGAAGAGAAACATTTTAAAAGGGAAAAAGAGGGGGAAAGACTCTAAACATTAATTGGGATCATATTGGTATCATGCCAAGAAGTTAGAACTTTTTCCTATAAACATTGGCTCCAAATTTTTCATAAATTAGAAGCCCTTCCTCCCATCAGAAATAATTGTGAACTAAGTGTACATATATTATTTGCACAGCATTTCCTTTTGGGGGATGTCGCTTTTTTACCTTTTATTAGAAAAATAAAGCTGTCTTCATTCCACTCACCCCATCTCCCATCTCAACCTTATTTTAATAGTCTTTCCATGAATAAGCAGATAAATCAATCAGATATCTCTCTGGGTCTTTTTTTCTCTTTGTGTGCTGGAACAGTTGGAAAAGGCGCTCTCTTCCTCTTGAATTAGAAGCTGCAAGGACAATGTAAACTGGAATCCCTCACAGCCATATTCTCAAACATATGAAGAAAGCTTCTGCACTAAGAAATAATTAGGCTAATGAAGACAGAGAAGCAGAGCTCAAAGAAGACATAAGAGGGACTTAAAGCTAAGGTTTGAGTCTCTAAATTCAGTCAATATGTAGACATCCTACCTTAAATATATTTGTGACACAATTTTGCAAATATATATTGACATATTTTTCTGATATACAGAGAATGCTTAATGTGATTGAAGATTTGTGACATCCTTATAATTAAAATTTTTACCCTTCTGGCATCGGTATTCCATGGTTTGGAAAACAGCTGTAGGGAATAGAAAAAATGAGAAGCTAACAAAATTATAGAACAAAGATAAATAAAATGACTAGCTTTATTTGTAAGGCCAGTACGTATTTTAACAAAATAAGTATGGTCCTTCAGCGTTACTTGGCTTCATTCTTTTTCTTCCAATTTCTGTTAAAAACAACAACAACAACTATGTAGTTAGCCTATCATTGGCACAGAACTATAAATGATATTTAACAGTTTCCCATTAATTTATCATGTAAGAAAAATCTGAATTAGTTGAACTACATAGACAGACAGACATCTTAATACAACTATTTTCAGTAAGTTAAAAATGGAGAAACTTTCATAATAAAGCTGAAATCTATAGGGATGTGGTTGTAATTAACCCAGGTCTTTGCAAAATCATTTGTTTGGTGCCAGTGTTTTATCTTCTTGCTATTCTAAGCAAAAGCATTTTTTTATTCAAAATTGACATTCTGTGAAATTATTCATCTTGAGAATCAAAAGTCAGCCTTTGTCAGATGCTTGGTTTCTTGGGAAATGAGATGTTTGAATTATTTGATTTTGCCATCTTTAATTTTCTAAAGTGGAGCAGATGTTCTCTGGATATAATAGATATGTGTCTACGTGAATCTTTCATTTCTAAAAATAAACTTTCAGAAGTATTTGCTTTCATGTAAAAAAATACTTTTGCTATAATTGTTCCCCATACGCATGGAGATGAAACTTTTTAAACAAAGAGAAGTCCGATTAAATAAAAATTTAGTTAAAGTGGTTGTTACTGTTGATATGTGTTTGTTATGGCTACTTTGAGCCTATTGCTTTAAATAATCATTACCATATCAAAGAGATGATGCTCAACATTCTACATTTTTATAGGAAGCCCTTGAAGACAATAAGCAAGATAACAAAAGATACAAGATCAAGTCTCTGAGAGACCTGCTTCTTCATAGGTATCTATTTCGTTATCAAGTGCTGTCAATTCTCCTACACCATTCACAATGCCTCTTTCATTTTTTGCTCCCCGTCTGACTTAGCTGCTACCCCTATAGGTTGTTAGACTTTTCCCATTTTATTGTCATCATTGTCACAGCATCCTCATTACTCTCCTTGCCTCTCCGTAGCTCTGTCCAATCTATCCTAAATACCGCCATTAGATTCATCTTCCCAAAATACTGTTTTCATTCAGCAAATTTTGTCACCACACACTGTGTTTCGAAAATTACAAATTAAAACTTATTTGAAAAGTCTAGCACAATGTTTTCAAATTTTTCCTCCTACTTCCCTATTTGAAGACTTCCTCTAAAACATGTCAATTTGTCACCTCTAAAAGATATATGTCCTTTTCCAATGTTTTCATTTTTCTTATTCCCTTCTGCCACTCAACTGCTATCACCTCCACATATAGCATATGCAACCCTCCTTCAGAGTTTAGAAAACACTAACCTTCTGCATGATGCTAACTTGCACTCTTTCCAGCTCTTATTTGACACAGCTTTCTCACTACAGATGTTTTCATACTTTATGAATATTTGTGTAAATAGCTCTTGTTATATGGTAACTTTTGAATAAGTTATTATAATCCCCACGGTGCCACCACTTGCATTCTATAAATATATTGAATCATTGAAACAGATTTTCTTTTAAAGATAATCTTTTAATCTATATATTAAGCTACTGGGGGAGAAAGTTTCTCAAGATAAATGGCACAACTTGAACCCCAGCTGGCTTGAAAATTTTGCTTTCAGTAATTTCCAGAGGGTACATGTGTAATGTACCTTTAACAACAATAAAAAGGTTACCAAAATGAATAGGTTTTGGCAGATACACC